AATGAAAATGAAATATTAAATTTTTTTATAATAAATTAATAAAGGTATTGAAAGAATGAATTGAAGATGCAATTATATATCGAGATTATAATGAATTGTCGAAGAAATTTTTATTCATTTGGAAATTGTTTGAGACTATGGGAATAAAAAAAATTATTATTTAGAAAGTATTTTTTGATGGTTCTTGTCAATTTTTGGCTATGGATATAGCTGAATCACTACAACAGGAGGCTTCAGTGAATCAACAAATGCACCTCTAATTCCAAGGGAGGTCTAGTTGTTTCCAAGGAGATCAAGAAATATAATCTACTATATATAAATATTTAAATTTCCGATAAACTAAAATTCAATTCTGCCTGGAATATTCTGATGATGATAATTTTATTTCTTTCCTAATTTAATTTTTTTATTTTTAAATCATATATATATCCAATTCTTGATTCAACTTATTTTCTTGAAACCAAACACGAACGTAACCCGACAAAAATTTGGATTTCCTATCTCTTGGGTTTGATGTCCTGAATACTTAAATTTAACTTAATGATCGAATCATATAGGTTGTGATAAAATGCAATGAGCATATATTACACATACTAAATATTATATAGTATTAATAACATTACTCATTAAAAATTAATTTCATAAATATTTTGCATTTATTATTTTGCCTTTATACTTTTTGAAAACCGATTTTGGAATTCTATTATTTTTGTGAAAAGGCATGCATTATTTACGCCTTAAAAATTATGAATTATTAATTACTATACTTTTCCAATATCCCAAGTAAAAGCAAACCATTTGTCATTTATATATTATTTTTTTTTATTTTATCCCGATTTGAAAAAAAAAATAATTTAAACTCCTTAATTAATTTTAATTGAAATAATTCGATTTTTATTAATATGATACAAAATTCTAAATTAAAAAAATATTAATGGTAAATGATTCCGATATAAGGTAAAAATATTAACTTTTACGTTGAAATATTTTTGGTATCTAGGAATTTCTTTTTAACTTTTAAAATAAAAAAATTCCTAAATTCTTCCACCTATATAATATTTAAATAATCTAAAATTTAATTCATTGTAATATTCTTTTTCATGATCGATTTTAAGAGGTTTCATATTATTCGCATAAAGAATTAATATATTATAAATTAAATGTAAATGTAAAATTAAAATTTGGCTTTTAGATTCTTAAAAATAAAGTATAGGGTTTGATAAGGTTTACAATCAATATAATAAAATTGACAATTTCTAAAGCAGTTATGATTTAGAACCCTCAACTCCTCCTCATCAGCGAGGAGTACCCCCCCCCCCCGAATAAAAAAGCTCCGTTATTAAATGGATACTGGCAGTGTTGATAGACATGATAACCCCCTCCCTGATATACTTAAGATTTTAATAATGTCGATATCCTTCGTATTAGATAGCCAAGACACATTGAACTCCAAAAATTTGTTCTTGAAAGTTGTGTATGCATATAACTCATGTGAAGGTTATCTAGAATACGAGAGCAGTATAGGCGAAAATTAGAAGAGCGCTCTATTTTTATGTGCTAATAGTCATGTCTGCTACTTTAAAGGAGATATAAGAAAGAATATAGTGATACCACGAAGAAAGGAAATTTGATGAAACGAATAGCAAAGAAGAAATAGAATTTGCTCAAACATTTTATATATTAATATACTCTCAATAAAATATATAAAAGTGGTAATGGGAGGTCAAATAAATTATATAAGGATTTTGAGGAAAGTAGTAAAGTAATAGATTGTAAATTAAATTCAGTGATCACGTTGTTGCAACTCAGCATAGAAAATAAATTGACGGATTTTAATTGACTAATAAAAAGTCACGGCTGATAGAACATGTCATTAGATTAAGATAACCAATTTTAATCGATAATTCTAATTAGAAGTAGAACTTAGATAAAGTTTTTGAAGAAATTAAAGTTGACAAAGATATTGCGATGGAAGCATAAGGATTTGAAAGGAAGAATGCAGGAGAATTTTCTAGACTAATAATATAATGGGGTCATGTAACAGTTAGAGATATATTAAGTTTAATATAATTGATAAAAAGGAGTGTTTTGGTTAAAATGATAAAGTGCTGACCGCTAAATTTGATGATAAATTGTTACAGAGAAAATAGTGGAATAATATGATAAGAATTATAAACCTGCAATTAAATTTTTTTAGAGCGTTACCAGATTATTTTGAAACCAATTTTTAAACCTGGCCCGACCCAAATTTTTTAATTATTTTTAAATCCTAGGTTCGGCGTAAATTTTGTAAAACATAAACCAGGTCCGGTCCGTTTAAATATATTAGTCTCAAATCCGGGCTTCTAGCCGAATTATAAGACTCTACTATATTATTTCATTTGCCATAAGTTTTTACGAAATTGGAAATATCTTTATTAACACGAAAATTTGTTAAAGAATATTGTGAGCGCGTCCATTCTGCTCATTAATTTTTAAGGGGTTATGAAAAGCAATTTTTAAATGATTTTAAACTCATGCCTCACCCAGTAAAAAAATAAATAAAATATAACGTTTATATATTTGTTATATTAAAAAATTATTCGACAAAATTTCGATGACCGGAATCTTCTAATTTATCATAATTCTTTCTATTATCGATTTAAGTGATAAAATAAAAATTACATCTAACACCTATAAATGCAATCTAATATCGCGGTATTAAAATATTTACTTCCCCAAATTTACATATAACATAGAATTGATAGGTTTTAAAGTAAAATAAAAGAAACTGGTAGGACCTGCGCCATAACTCAACTATATAGTTATAAGAAATATTCCAAAAAAATTTATTTCTAATTTTATGACATACGAAATACGTTTTATTTATAGAATCGAGTTATCAAGCCAATACAAAGAAAGAATCGAAAAAATTGTATTCGCCGATTCGTTAACGATATTTATAGCCTTGGGCATTATCGGAAATATCTTCTACCTTTTGTGTACGAGCAATATTTCAACCGACAAATATCACACATATATTTATATTCGTACTTTAATTATAACCGATTTTAGCATCTGTATAACCTTAATAATTTGGCCCACCTATTTCTTTTCGGATAAATCAAGATTCGTGTCACCTAAATTGTACATATTGTTAATGGGTAAATATATTTTACCTATACAGGATTCATTGATGTATTTTAGCAACTTATTGCGAGTACTAATTTCACTGGATAGGGTTACCGCTTTGGGGTTTCCAATATTTTATAATAAACAATCGATGCAGACTAAAATAAAATATTTGTTGCTAATATGTGCCGTAATCAGCGTAGGGAGCGCATTTCCTGCAACTTTTACCTTCATCGTAGTAAAATTAAAATATCATTTTGATACACTAAATGGGTGCAGTCAATATACAAATCATACTCTAACCGTTATACCATTATCTTTAATTAATACAACAAGATATGTGACATATTGCTATGCCATGCAACCCAATCAAAATGCAGCCTGGCTTTCAACGTCAGGCTTCGTAAATAATATTAGTATGTTCGTTTTACCCGTCATGATTATAGTGATAGCTAATACAACTGTTATAATATTATCGATAAAATATTACCGTAAACGGCTAAGAATAAATAATCAATACTCTAATTCCAGTAGCGTAAAGATGTCATTAGATGCTAGGTGCAATTTTTATTTAAAAAAAATGATTCACACAATATATTATCATATTCGTCCAAATGAACATTCGGCGTCAGGTAAATTATTGCTACACATTATAAATATCAAAGTGTCCCCGACGCTACCTATGGCTATCTCTACTAATTCTATTAATCGAAGAACTCCTATCAGAAATCGGGAATTAAAAATTACGTTAAGTATGATGGGATTAAGTACACAATTCGTAATTTGCATGCTACCCTTGATATTGTATGTATTTAAATATCATTATTCATGGAGTAGTAGTATAACTAGTTTTAACACACTTTGGTTTCAATCTATAGCACACATTTTAAAATTAAGCAATTATTGTTTGAGCGTTTACGTATCCCTGGCATCTGATCCAACTGTTCTAAAAAGAATCAATAAATATATTAAACGAAATAATTAATAGTGTATAAATATAGTCAAAATTTACTTCTTTTTACCTTTTTTAGGAAAAATATATTCCATTTTACTTTATTCATAATTAGATATTGTGTTCAATTTTTTTAAAAGAATAAATATTTTAACCAACAATGTAGGATATAGTTCGTTTAAATTTCTCTTCTTATATGATGATAGTTTCGAAATAAATTGGAGTGGAGTTACGTCCCTCTGTCCCCAACGTGCTCTAGTCCCTACAATTTAATTTATATTGTTTCTTATATATAACCAAACATAATTTTAAAAAAAATAATTAAAAGTTCTTGGCAAAATTTGTCTGAAATTATCATTGTGGATTTACACCACATTCTGGATAATGTAGTATTTCTGAATCCTCGTGTATTCTACATTCCAATACAACATTTAATATTATTATAAAACACTTTCATGATGGAAAGTTGATAAACTCTTCAGTCGCGTCCTAGCTTTAACTTAATTTTTCATCTTCTTAATTTTAAATTCTATTTAGAAAAGCAGTCTAAACACCATATTTTTTAAAAATTAGCCATCGTGACATAAACTGAATATCATTAAATCCAAAAATAGAAAAGCTATTTAGAAATTTTTAAAAAAAGAAGAAAAACAGATCTTTACAGAAGAGTTTAAATATCTTGAACACAATCAATCTTACATTTTATTATTTATAAGCAAACATAGAATGCGACTTCTTTCCTTATTTTTTTTTACCTCGTATTTATTTTCCTAGTATTTTGTATTGTCTCTTTATGCCCGCATCTCTTTAAGGCTAAACTTATATATTATATAATAGTTAAGCCACTAATCTATATATCTAATCTATTAATAAATGGAAAAGCTTTCAATTTAATTTGTGATATATGAAATAATAAATATGATTATATAAATATAATTATTAAATTTTATAATAATATGGTATACTATATGTTATACAAATATTTCCTTCTTAGAATAATATATATAATATTACATGAAGTATCTAAAAAAAACAAAAATATCACAATAATTATTTTTTGTAAATATTTTGAGATGAATGGGAGAAGGAAAAAAATAATGTCTAAAGAAGTGTTTCGAGGGTCGTAGTTTTACTTCGTGGGATATTTCCAGGTTTGCTTGTTGAGGATTTATTGCGATATATTAATGAACTCTGCGCTGAAAATCTATGATCTTTAGAGTTGTGCATTCTCGATTCCGACCGTACAAATACAAAGCTATCCTTGTGCCCACTGTCGTAGTTTATAAATGGACACCACCTAAAAGCTCGTTTAAAACCTTGTCGAAATCTTATTTTGTTTTGTTTATTCGTATTTAAAATATTAATATGTTAACATCTTTTTTTAAAAAAAATATATATATAAGAAGGGGCAAGAAATATAAAGAACAAGGAGAGGATATATTAAACGGAAATGACGGTAAGGGGAGAGGGGAAAGATGATAGAATAATGCAGGAAATAAATCTAGAAGAAATCTCAGAAGGATACATGTCTTTAAGGTTATTTGCCTTTATAGTCAATAAGATAAAATAATACCAGATGTCTTCCACGTAAAGTGTCTCAACTTCAAAACTTTCTATCAATTTAAAAAAAATTATTTCAAAATATTTTAAATTTAACATTAAGTCTAAAATTACACAGTTTTATTTTTTGTCGCAACAATTTATGCTCTTATAGGGCCTTCATTTTCGCGAATTCGGCTAGCAATTGTTTTTAGGGCAGACAAATTTCCGAAATGCCCCCCCCCCTCTCCAAATATGCCTATGTATAGATCAAAATTAGCATTATTTTATATATAATACCTCTAAATTTAGATAAATAGATCAAAAGAAAAGTATAAGCTTTAGAATCTCCTAAAGCTATCACACTTAGAGTGGGCCAAGCGTTTTACATATTTTTTTTAAACTATAGCATGTGCTAATGAGCCGTTAGATTAGAAGTTTCTCGTTATTTTTACAAGAATATTTGGTCTAATTTTTTTAAAATTAAAAATAATTATATAAAAAAGAATCCATTCAACAATTTTATACTTGTTGTTTAGCCAGCAATACACTATAGGATTATACATAGAATTACTCATGGCGAACCAATACAATACCAAAAAAATATGCTGAGTTGCGGCATTCGTCGTTATATTTGCGTGTAATTTTTGCAATAAAAAATAGGTTTGATATGGAAGGTAACATATAGCGAATATGGAAGTAACCATTACCATCATTTTAACCACCTAAAGGAAATAAAAGTCATTATTTATATGTAAGATTTATTATTTAAATATAATTATTACTCTTTTTTTAAAACTATGATTGGAATTTGATTCTACCTTTCTCTTAGATTTAATATTGAGTAATTGTTTCTCATAGTCTTCCCCTATCAATTCACTCCACCATAATTTCATTCCAATTTTGATGTAAACAAATGCCAATATCATAACGGGCACAAAGTATGTCATAATCATCATAAAAAGATCGTATCTATAAAATAATATATTTATATTATATATATAAACATTCCATAGGTTCGCCAATCCTGAATTCCAGCCCGAATTTAGTAAAATTAGTATTTATGTGCCTGGTTCAAGGGTTTAGGCCGGTTTTGCAAACTAATTTATAAGAAATAGTGACTTTTTAATAAGCTTATTTAATGTATAAGTTAGTGGCCATCTGTATTTTCTGGCAATTTTTCAACTTAAAATCATTTTCTGAGAGCCTTATAAATTTAAAAATCTGATTTTACCGAAAATGTATTCCATTATGTTTGGAATACCTACCTTTCTGGCAATTTTGGCTTGAACTTTTGAGCTTAATATGATTTACATTAGTTTTTTCCATAGATTTTTTATATAAATTATAAATGATTCAAAGATTAATGGTAAAATTGTCTACAATTCATAAAATAAGTATTCTAAACATGTTGATCATTTCCAGGTAAAATCCGATACTTAAGTTTTTTTTAAAAAAAAGCGCTCAAAAAATGATTTAAAATTGATAAAATAACACATTTATGCTAATATATATTAAACATTTTGATAAGTATATATATTAACATTTTTTAATTTCATATTAATCGCAAAGAATTCTAGTTAACCTAAAATTGACCTGAATATGTTTTCTTATTAAGATTGATCAGGTTTAAATTTATATTCAATCTATTGGATTCCAAAAAAATAAGAAATTAATTTTCGCAAAATCGAATTTATGAATAAAGACTTATATTTATAAAATAAGAGAAATTACGGTATGAATATTAATAAAGTGTCACACTCATTTTTTAGATGTTTGACAGATTATTTAAAAACATTTACAATAAATGTTTTTTATTCATTAAACAAAATGATTAATATATAGCTCATTAATAATATGGAACAAATATGGTTTGATGTTTATATTATTAACACTTGATATCAATCTTCAGAAATCTCAATTTGATCTAAAATATAAGTTTTTAAAAGGATATATTGAACAACTCACTTATTTTTATCAGATAAAAAATAAAAAAAAAAGATTTTTCAAATTTAAAAAGAATTCTTTTATTTTAAATACAATTATGCAAATGAAAATTTGAGAGCAAGCTTGTATATATCGTGTTTAATATAAAAATTAGCATAATATAATAAATCAATATTGTTCACATTTTTTTTAAAGATTGGACATAAATTTAAAATACACTAATGTATTTAATTATCTTAACCATTGGACAAGGTGCAAAAATAACATAATAAAGTGGCAATTATAATCAAATTAATAAATGAAGAGTTGTCGTAAAGATGTCTAACTGAAAAATAAAGTAAGATCTCTTGTCATAACTTATTAGTCTTCGGCGAAATATAACTTTATACCCCCCCCCCCCACTTCCAGTATCGAAATTTCCTATCCCAACTTAATTATACTTTAACTAAATGGAATATCTAGTCACTATGTCCAATATCAAAAACATTGAGAGTCAGGAAGAATACCCTCCCTTTGAGTGTCCATGGAACAAAGATGTGTCCGTTCGAAAAACTAAAATTATTCCTCCGCGAGCTCAAACTAAACTTACCAAATAGCACAATTCGAGAAGCCTCACTTTTGTTCCGATAACTCGAGTACAGTCATCGCATATGGAACATTAAAAAAAACCCCATTTTATATATTAAAACTTAAACAAAAATTGAGATCAATTCTCACTCAGGCGATCCTCATAAAAATTTCTATAGAATCTCCATTAAAATTTGTCTCTCAAATTGCATCCCAATCCATTGCAGATCAATAAGTTCTATAGGCAATATTATGTTAATTCATAATCATATATTTAAAAAAAAAATCAAGTAAATTTTTTATGTGATGTATAATAACGTTTTAAATTAAATATTCAAATATCAATATTTATTAAACATTACTTTCTAAATTATTACGGAAAATATAGGTTCTATTCCACATTCTTGCTATCAAAGAAAAACTTTATATTTTAAAAATTATTTAATTATAAATGTATGAAATTTAAAATGAGATTAAAAAATTTTTTTATAAATTTTTTATTTTCTGGGGTGTCTCTTATAATCCAATTTACCACTACTCAGGTAATTAAGAAATTAACCTTTATTTTTTTTAAACTTATAAAAATATAACTTTTAACTAATGAGAAAATAATGAATTTGTAAACACTATAAGCAAAACCTATTAATATACATTAAAAAAATTTCTCTGTAAAGAAGATAATAGTTTGTGATGTGTGTGAGAAGATTTAATATATTTATAACTCCAATTCATTATATTTAATATAAAAAAAATGTAATATATTTTAATTAAAAATTTATATGATTGATTTCTTTTCCAAAAAAAATCTGAATTATTAGATTTTGAATTTTTATGCATATTGCAGAAGTTTTTTTTGAAAATATAAAAAATAATGGTTATTTTATTCCAATTTTTAAAGCCATTTATATTTATAAGTCTCAATAACAAAAAAAAATACATTTGAATTTCATAAAAGAAGCTTATATTTAAAATACTTTTGAGAGTAGGAAAACGAGTATTGGAAAAATAAGGATTATTTGAAGATTTCAGTTTCAATTACAAAAATAATTCTAAATTTTACTAAAAGAGTTTCTATTATTTTGAGAAAAAGTGGATAAAATAAATGAATTTATTATCGATATATTTTTTTAAAAAAACGATTATATTATAGAAAATTGCCGATACCTGCCGTCCCTTTATGTCAAAGTTCATTTGTGTTTCATGTTCACCTATTACCAGATACTCTTTTTTTCTTGTTAACTTTTACCCATGCTTTTCTAATGTATCTATCCATCTCATCAATCTTACCTTAATTTCAACCTTTGTTTCAACAGATATTACAATATTATCTGCCAATATCATATTCCATGGGATTGTTTCCGAGATAATCTGCAATAGGGAATCCATCCCGATTACAAACAGCATTGGATAAGCTTTGTTATGAACATATTATCTAACATATTGATATTTGTGTGTAGCAAAAGGGATTTCTCCAATTCGAAGCCCTCCTAGGCTAATAAGAAAATACACATAATGATTCCCCTGTTTTATAGATGTTGTGATTCTATTAATGTTAGCACACATAATTGATTTAAAAAAGGTATAAAAGGATGAAATTGTTGGAGGGTATGAACTTTTCCCATTTTCTCCTATTTTAATAATTATCTTGCTTTATAGTTTTAGATTTGATCTATGGTTTAAATTTGGTTATGTTTACTGTAGTAACTTGCGATATTTTTGATTACTAATCAAAATAAAGGGTAGAAAAATCTACTATACTGACGTGAATCTTTATCTGGGTGATTTATATTTAGGTTCTCAAACTATACTTATGTTTACAAAGTAAAATAAAGAACAGATTCCTATTATACTGACGTGTGTATTCATCTGTGTGGTTTTTAATTAGATTCTCAAACTCATCCTTCTAAAATTCATAAGATAAAGCCATACGGACACGGGCTCTCTATTCCTTCCACTAATCTTTTCCTGTACAAAGCTTCTCTCCTTTTATTCCCGAGCTAACGGGCACACCTTATCTTGTTACTATTATAGTTCCATCCCCGCCCCTACGATTTCAATTCTTTCATGGTTCCAAAGCAACGGTGATTCATATAAAAAAATTTGATTTATCCCTTAATACAGCTGATGGAAAAGAATAGTATAAGGAATCCTCGATAATAGGAAAATCTTGAATCATTTTAAATTATTTTAAAAAAAAACTTTTTCGATAATAAAAATATTAAGATAAGATATCGAACTATATAAATAATAAATTATATTATTTACAGTTAATATGTGTAATAAATAAGATTATAAAATTAAATATATATATATATGTATCTGGAATTTATAGGGTAAGTATTTTCTTTCTCCTACACATGCTGAAATAAATTTTAATTTTTCTTTATTTAAATAAATTCCGACCGGGCCGGGTGAATAAATAATTTTTATTTCGAGTCGGATTTTCGGGAGAAATAAAAAAATAATTGTTCTGGATCGAGCTGAACAAAACAAAATTTTTTTAAAAAAATTCTGGCCGGACTGGTTTGAAAAATTAGGCCCAATACAGATAAATGTACTATATTGTCTGATTATGCTAATCACCAGAGTTGTTAAAAGATACTTTTTAAATGGATCTAGATACAGATATATCGTCTAAAATAATATCTAGATACAGATATTTTAATCAAAAATCTATCTAGATACAGATACAGAGACCACATTTATATATCTAGATACAGGATCTAGATACAGGATCTAGATACTTGTATCTAGATCCTTTAACAACTCTGCTAATCACATATATTTATATATGTTTAAAATATATTATAATTATATGAATTTATTTATCACCCGAATGAGACGGTCTCCGTTACTTCCAAATAACATACTGTCCTTTCCGATTTATCCAGATAGGTCCAGGTAAATGTGTGCGAGTAGATTAACGTTGGGAATGATATCGTAAAGGCTATGCTCCATATCACAATTATGGTAATGATACATCTTTTTAGGCTTAATTTCTTATGTAAAACGGGGACTAGGGCAAAATATCTGTTTGTGTTACAAAAGAAAGAATGATAATAATAAATAAAATATAAACGTTTATGATTTAGATGATTCATTTCCATAATTTACAATATATATATATATATTCTTTACCGAAATGACTGTAGACAATATCAATATGTGAAATTTAGCAATTTATTAGTTTTAAAATAATCAAACTCCATACTTCGTTGTTGACTCTAGGTTTTCTTAGAATACTTAAAACATTTATATTGCCCTTTTAAAATAAATTAAACTTATGTTATCCGGAATAGATTCCAGAAAATTACTAGAAATTTTTGGAACACAATCATAATCATTTTTTTTTAAATGTTACTTTGCACCCTTAATTTTATATTAATTTTTGATAATATAGATATTTTTATATCATATAAATTAAAAATGACATAAAAATTCAGAGCTAAGTTGTTTGAAATTTGATGAAGGCACTCCACACCATGAATAGAATTCAGGCAAAATCAGATGTTATAAAAATTGAAGACACGCCTAACAAATGATTTTAAATTTTAAAAATTAGCTAAATTCTCGGCTCAGCGAAACATAATTCGACATTTAAGAGGCCTCAGTCTGGATATTAATGTTGGTTTATAAATTATAATTTTATATATAGCCATTTTTTAAGAAATTAGTATAAAAAAAGCAGAGATATCTAGATACAAAAAGTTGTGATGTATCTAGATAAAACTTTATAAAAAGTTTCTTATCTAGGTATATTTTTACAGGTATCTATCTATTTTTAGATATATTTTCATGTATATTTATTTTATATATTATAAAAATCACTATTTTGATTCAAATCATTAAATATGATGTCCAAGTTTATTTCATCATAAAAACAAACGAGACAAATTTATTTCATCATAAAAACAAACGAGACAAATTCTATTTTCCACATTGGATGACAACAGATAATTTTAGCAATAAATCCTAAATTAGTAATCATTTATACCTTACATAACTATAATAAAAATGTATCGGATAATTGTATTTGAATACAGAGCATGAACATTTAAAAGATATATCTAGATATTGATACATCTTAGACGATTTATCTAGATATATTTGAAATTTTTCTTTTACAACTCTGCTTATAAGTGTAATCTTATGACATATTTAAAATTATTAAGTACTAAAGCCCTATCTCGAATCTATTTATAGAGATCAGGAGCTGATTAATGAAAGTTTTAAAATAAAGATACTGCCAAATCAGTCATCAAGTCCTACGATCTGCCAATCGCATTATGAGGCAAGGGCTCCAAGATTAACATATAATTAGAAAGAGAGTGAAAGAGAGGAACTTATGAGTTTGGAGTTGTTATGAGATCTGTATAAAATTTATACATTTTGAAATTTATTTTATTGTATAAATAATAAATAAAATCTATAATGAAATTCTCTGCAAAATTTTGTTATATGCAAAAATGTAATTAAAATAATTATTTTTAACATAGAATAGGATATATTGAGTGATCATAAAAAATGGGAGGTTTGGGGAGCGATTTTATTCTTCTTTCTACACCAAATGGATTGAATTAATTAAAATTGCTAAACATTGATAAAATTTTCAGAATAATGCTTTCAGTCGCGTATTAATCATAAATTTGGCCAAAATTTTGTTACTAATATTTTTTCAAATGCTGGCTACTATAGTGGTTAGACACCAATAAAGCACAAAATTGATAAATTTAAAAAAAATTCATCACTTTTACTCTCAAAAGAAACTTTACTTATCAAAAAAAATAATATTCTTGTTTATGAGTTGTTTTGTCACTTTTAGAATATTAATAATGGTTACTTTATAAGAGTTTTTTATATATTTATTTTCTCTTTAAGAAACACAGCAATTACAATTATATTATTAGTTAAGTTATACGATTTAAAAAAAAAAATATATATATGGTTGCTAGTGAAAATTTTAATTCCGTTTCTTCTTCTTTATTTATTATATTATATATATTGATTAAACCAAAGGTAATAAAATAAGTTACCAAAAAAATAGTATATCATAAATAACGAAAAATAATTTGATTAAAATAAAAAAAATTTTGGAATAAATGTTTATTGAAATTAAGTAATGCCTTTTACTCTTTCTTCTTCAAGTGGTGGTTTGAGCTATTTTTAAAAACTCTAACTCAATATGTTATTTTATCCAGAAAGTATAAAAATATTTCGCAAGCCTGAAGATTTTGTTTATAGATTTGCAAAATCTCGAGGCTTAGGCGATAACCTTCTGGCTAAAATATTGAGTTAGCCATTTTTAAAAAGCGACATAAATAGAATCTTTTAACAACACTATTTCGTTATTTCTCTAAAATAAGTGAATTTATGTAAAAATTTATTCGTTAAATTTTTACTATGCCAAAATATTAAACTTTTAATCTACTTAAAATTTTAAAGTTAGCGTTATACAAAAATCAATGCTTTTGTTTTTACTCGAAGCAAATATTAATTAAATTTAAAAAAAATTTTAAAAGAGTAACCCTAAATTTTGTAATAAATCATTCATTTATTTGAATTAATTTTTGATTAGTAGGATCATCTAAACTAAAAATGATTGATCATTTACATTATATACGCAATAATATAATAAAACATTAATTTTATATTCTAAAAAAAAACCACATAAGTAAAAGATAATCCTTAATAATTTTTATATAAATAATAGTTTTTTAAAACCAAAATTAAAGCAAAATATCATTTTAGTGTATTTTTTTTTGAAAGTAAATTATTAATAATATCGTTTTTGAAAGTTTTTGAAACCTTTATCTCTGAAAACACACACACACATTGATCCCAGTCTGATACCTAACCCCTCACTCACAGTTAGTCCGAATTCGGGGTAATATATTCAAAATATACTATTTTTCTTGTAATCTTCTTTATGAATTCTCGCTATCTGTGAAGAGGGGTAACTCGGTGCTGTCGCGTTCCGACCTATTTTAAAAAAATATATATATCAGATAGATCTCGTACGACAAATTTTTTAGATTTTTTTAAAAAAATAAATTTCAAAGAATATTACTTTTTTTAATAAAGAATTTTATTTTAATTCAGAGGTTAGAATTATTTCAATATTCGTTGAAATTTCTTACTTCTTCTTTTTCAATAGTCAAATAAAATTTCACAAAGATTGGATCAGATCTTTGAAAAAGAAATATTCTGATTGGATAGGTTGGAATAAAATTTTGTAAATTTCTAATCGGATCAAGTTGGAACCTGAAAAAAATAGGTCCTATGCATTTGAAACAAATATTTTTAAATAATGGTAAACTCTTAATTTTATTTTGTTGTTGTCAATTTATATTTTAATCTAATCTGGATATCGTCTCGTTAAATCTGAGTAAACTGGATTAATACCAAATTAATCTGAGATACGATCACAGAAAATAGGAGATTAGTTTAAAATATGATACCGAACATAGAAGATTACTTCAAGATATGATCACAGAAAATTGAAAATTAATAATAACAATGAAAAATAAAAATCTCCATAAAAATAAGGATTTTATCTAAACTGAAAAATATATAAATTTTTTGATTATATGTTTTTTTTTGATAATGCTAATTTAATAATTTAGAATAAGTTAATTAATTTATTATAGAGGAGAAATTGAAAAATCTCGAAATATACACTTTTCAACTTCATTTTTTTTAAAAACATGATGCTTGAATTTATATGAGTTCGATTGTGTTCCAGGGACATGTTTAAAATATAAAGATAATAATTAGAGCCTTCAAAAGCGAAAATATTTTGGCGATTTAGATTCAGATATTTCTGGTGGTTTTGAATACAGTTTAGTTGAAGATCCAATTTAATATATAACATTTTATTTTACTTCTTACCCTTTTATTAATCAAATTTGCTTTAGCCATCTTCTAACATGATTAATGCTGAAATTAGCAAAGTTCGTTAATGTCACCCTCAAACATTACAGCAAATACAGTAAGGCCCATTGATCCAGATTTAGAGGTCTTGGACTTCTGGGAAAACCTTCTAAATAATATTTAACACAAAAAATGGAAAAAAAATTTTTTTTTTGAAGTTTTATTTTGATTTAGGGTTGATACTGTTAATTCGGCGATGATATTCCTGCCAATGCCTACATAAACGGTTATGATAAACAAAATTTAAAAAAAAAGATAAATATATATATCTATAAAATTAGTAGTCATAAAAGAAATTTCTATTGATAAAACAATAACTAGAAATTAAATGACATTCATATCACAACAATTCATTAATAAAAAGTATTATTTTGTTTTTTCCTAGCGATCTACTTTGCGATATTTAATTTAATTATATTATCCATTTATCAAACACAATTTTAAAGGTTCTTTGCAATATTTAATATTATCCATTTATCTAATATAATTTGAAAGGTTGGCATGGCATGGCATTGAAATCTTTTTTTTTAATATAAATAAAGTAAATATCATATTATCTTATAAAAAAAATTGAGTGGTTATACATTACATATTATTAAAATATTGAAATATTATAATTTAATTAAAAAATAAATTTACAAGATTTTTTATTCGGATATAATCTGCCAAAAAAAATAAGATTGAATTTTTTTCTTCTTTTAAGATAAGGTAATTTAATCTGAGCCTAGAATACTTTTAAATAAAAAGGTTTTTGGTTCTTCTAAATATATTTAAATAGGCTAGCCGCAGCTATCCTTAAAGCGAATTTTATAAGACTCCATTACTATTGAATAAAATAAAAAATTTACAAATAGATGGATCTGGCTACGGTTTTTAAAGTTTTAAACTAGGTTCAAGTTTCAGTCTTAAGATGTAACAAACTATGAAAGTGAAATTTTTTTTGGGGGGGGGGGATTGAAAACTCCAATGCTGTTTAGCCAAGTTTTTAGCCTAAATAAATTGCCCAAACCTCACAATCTAATCATTTAAAGTGTATTAAAAGTGTGGGCATACACGTCCCATAATTGAAAGCCATTTAGAAAAAATTATGTGAAAAGCAT